CCCCCCCCCACAGGGCCACGTTACCCTCCAGCTGACGTCCTCTGTAACTCCACATGCTGTCTGACCAGAGGACGAGAGATAATATTGAAAGACGGGGTTGAAGCTCCACAGTGTTTCCAGTTGTTCACATGAAAAACCTGAATAATCATAGATTTGATTTGTTTTTACTAAACTGTAATTTTCTTCATTTGATTTTAGAGACGATTAAGAGTCAGCAGGGAGCAGCGCCCCCTGTATCTGTGGATGAGTTGTTACCTCTGTCGGTCTCCGACGCACAGCCTGTAGCACGCAACTACATCGACTGCACCGAGTCCAATGGTGAAGAGGAAGATGATGAGGAGGAGGAGGAGGAGCACGAGGACCAGGGGGACATTAAACTGATGAAGGAGGAGGTGACACAACCCCCAGTGGAAGAAGAGAACAAGATGGAGGGAGAAAACAAAGAGACGCCGAAATGGGAAGACTTCTTCACTGCAGAGATGCCGACCGACAGCCAGAACAGCCACTCACAATCCTGCTGCTCCAACGCCACCGCCTCCCCCGCCAAGGTGACCAGCTCACAGACGCCCGAACTGTTCAGTGACGATGAAGAAGAAGAAACTCCTGAAAACCACGAAGCCTTCAGCCTGACCCTGTCCGCCTCCTTATCCAATCATTCCTCCCAGAACATGGACTCGTGTTTCTCCGACACCTTGATCCTCCAGCGAGAACGAGGAGACGCCGGGACCAACGCAGGATCTCAGAAGAAAGAGGAGGACGGTCTGATCCTCCAATCAGAGCCGGAGGAGCTGTCACAGTCTCAGGCGTCGTCAGACTTTGACATTCCCTGCACGCCAGAGTCGAAGCCGCCACGACCAGACGAGCTGTCACAGCTGTACCAGACGCTGGCTTCAGGAGACGAAGACGTCATCAGATACGGAAGTAAGGGCTTTGCTTGACTGAGATGAAGATTCCTCCATGTATGTGGATGGGACATGAACCAAACAAAAAAAAAAGAACAAAAAACTTTTCTCAGGGACTAAAGCTTTCGTTAAATTTCTTTTTTTTTTGTTATCAGATTTTCGTCCCTGTTTGTCTGTTTGTACACGAGACGACTCACAAAGTACTGGACATTTCACCACGAAACTCGGTGGCAGGATGTGGTACTGCTCCGGAAAGAATTCATTACAGTCTGGTGCGGATCTCCTCAGTGAGGTTGTTCCTAAAGAAACTGTTGAAAAACTAAATTCCTGGTTCCACCCCCTGATCCAGATTCGCCCCAAAATGAAATAAATGTTCCCCGACGTCCTTCCACCGAGTTTCATGTTGATCCGTCCTGTAGTTCTGACGTAATCTTGCAAACCAACAGGGATGAAAACACAACCTCCTCGTTGGAGGTAAATGCTGATTAGTTTCCTGTCGAAGGACCAACAGCTCCACTAATGAGCGACCGCAGCCTCCGCCATGTTGGTGATAATCATCCGAGTGAGATTCAGTGGAACGGCTGCACAGCATGCAGCAGAGCACGCCAGCAGAAACCTCCCAGAGGAGGCGTCAGCACCGTGCCGCCTCCTGGAGCTTCACAACAAACCGTCTCGGGTTTGTTTCCACGTCCTTGAAAACACACAAGTCTGTGAGCGGGTCGTCAGGGCGGCCATGACAGTCTCTTACAGAGGACGCAGGGAGACGACGTCCTCCACTGCTGCCGGGTCACATTTGAAACTCCTGATGAGACCGAGGGTGTGAAAGACGCCTGCAGGGATTCATCTGCTCCTTCCTCTCCATCGACAGACGTCATCCCTCCATCGCCGATGTGTCGCACGCTGCAGTTCACGTGAAGAGAGAGAAGACGACAAGTTCATTTCCAAGACAAAGTCATTCTTTAAAACTGATTTCAATTGTTGTGACGAAGAAAACGATGCACTTTACTCAAAGACAATGTTATGGTGTTTGTCGGAGCTGCTTTAAAAACACGTGATGTTATCACCTCGTTACGTTTTCACTCGTCTGGTTTTTAGTTTGCAGGATTACGATAAAACTTCTGAATCGATTTCCATGAAATTTAGTGACGAAGAGATGAAGAGTGATTCTCATGTTGGTGCAGAGATGCAGGAGTTTTGTTTTTCTCTTTCTTTAACACTGTTCTTGATTTCTCTGAATAATTCATGGATCCTAAAATAAACCTCATATTCTTCATCCTGTGACCTTTCTCT